TGCAGACAGATACGCTCTGAGCTGCGGCAAACACTGGCGAATTATGAGCTGCTCGTGTGTAAATGAACACAGTGTTGCCCTTCACTCTGAAACACACAGCGCATATATTTCTATCATGACAACTTGCGGAAGATTTTAGCATGTTAATGGATATGACAATGTTATTGCTGCTGCAAAGCAAAGCAAGTACAGGAACTTGCTACTGCCAATACATAAGCCAATACGGTGCTGTGAGTATTAAGACATACTGCTGCTGCACAAATAGCATATAAAATAACCCGTAGCAGATCTATACAGGTGGAGCTGGGGAAGGTGGAGGGTTTCAGAGAAACTCTGAAAGCGCGCTGCTGGAATCTATAGTAAATGCTAGCCAGCCATATAAATGCAAGGCAGTAAGCTCATTGGCTGCATATGCAGCATGAACCAATCAGCTTGTGCCAAGTCATTTAACTCTCTGAATATCATCGGTTACATTAACAACCCGTCGCCTGCACCGTCTAGAGTTATATAGATGGTTATATATTATTGATGATGATATATATATATATATATATATAGATAGTATAGTGTTTTATTTGTTTAATTCTTTTTTTGTTTTTTTGCATTTTATTTACAGTCTCAATCTAATGAGGCACAAATCAAAATGCTGTTAACCATCGTTAACTCTTTCGTTCAGGCGCGGCTGAAAAGAGCTCCAAACATGGTGCTGAGGACCGCACTCAGAACATCATCATGGCCATGAAGGATCGCATGAAGATCCGTGAGAGGAACAAGCCTGAGATCTTTGAGGTCATCCGAGATGTATTTGTGGTCAGCAAGGCCATCCATGCTCAGCAGATGAAGACCATCAAGCAGAGTGTCCTGGATGGAACGTCCAAGTGGTCAGCCAAGATCACCATTACAGGTTCAAAAACTGATCATTGACATTGCCATTTTTCTGGATATATCATTCCATTTTTACTCAAGTTAAATTCAGCCATTTAAAAGTCATTTTAAAATGATGCACAATGCAAATTTTCCTCTATACCTCAATGACTTTCCGTCTTCTAATCTGTCTTGCTTATAGTTGTCTGTGCTCAAGGACTGCAGGCTAAAGATAAGACTGGCTCCAGTGACCCCTACGTGACCGTCCAGGTGGGTAAAACCAAAAAGAGGACCAAGACTATCTACGGCAACCTCAATCCTGTCTGGGAGGAAAAGTTTCATTTGTAAGTATAATTAGACCAATCAGAGACCTTCTCTTTGATTTGAAGTGCCATTCTTTGTTCCTTTGTTGCCCTAGGCTGTCTTACTCCGAATGTGTCACCCAGTTTTTGATCCAGTCTCTTTTCAGTAGTGGAATAAACTTGTCTGAGTGAACAGGCTGTGGTTGAACCACTGGCCTGTTTTCAATATTATTCAGTCTAGTTGTATCTTAAGACTGGAATATACTACACAACTATTCTATCAGATTTTAAAAACACTAGGCATCATTTGGCAACTTTGTATAGTTACAGTAAATAGTTACAGACTGGGCATCATAAACTAATGATACACATCATTCACTACCAGACTTTCAAGTTCCAAATATTCAGAAACATGCGTCACATTGCTAGAAGACGCATAATGAATGAAAACAATATGTGCTGTAAAACATGTTGGAAATCCTTTGACTGGATGGATGCGGAAGCTGTGATTTTCAATCCTTTTGACTGACCAAAATCTGTAGACTGGCTACTGGAAACTAGTGTTGACTCCTCCAGACTGGAAAGTCATGTAGTCAAGTAATTTCATTAACCATTACATTCCAACGTAAGAAAAAAAATTGGGTCACACTTTAGTTTGGGGATCAGTTCTCACTAGTAATTAACTATGAACTATGACTTTTGCCTCAATAAACTCCTAATTTGCTGTTTATTAATAGTTAGTAAAGTGGTTATGTTTATGTACAGGGTACGATTAAGGATCTAAAATATGGTCATGCAGAATAAGGCATTAATTTGTGCTTTAGAAGTACTAATAAACAGGCAATATCTTAGTAATATGCATGCTAATAAGCAGTTAGTTAATAGTGAGAATTGGTTCTTCAAAAAAAGTGTTACCAAAAATTTCCAAAAACAAAAAACGACTCGCAAGGAATAATAGTAAAATGTATGTTTACTTTTCTTAAATAAGACATACTTGATGATGTATGTGACAAATGTAACCTCCGGAGGGCGCATCAAAATGAGATGCACATAGTTTCTGATCTTCAACAAAGATTGTGAAGATCTGTGTTGTCTTCCAGTGAATGCCACAACTCCTCTGATCGCATCAAAGTTCGTGTTTGGGATGAAGATGACGACATAAAGTCGCGAGTGAAGCAGCGCTTGAAGAGGGAATCTGATGACTTCCTGGGCCAAAGCATCATTGAGGTTCGCATGCTGAGTGGAGAAATGGACGTCTGGTACAACCTCGGTAAGCCCTTGGCTTGTGTTTTGTATGTTCTTATGCCTTTCTTTTTGTTTTTTTGTTTTTGTTTTTAGGCTTTAGTGTCCAGACCGCACCTTGTCCTGATCTCTCTGCAATAATGTAGAAATTTAGGGAAGCGCAGGCTATGCAAGAACTTGACTTCACTGTGCCAACAACTGGCAGCATTTCAGTCATTTTAAAATTGGCTATTAGATTCAGAATGTTGGAATGAAACAATTGTAATGTTGAACAAAATTTGGTATATGCTGGTACTTGTTGTGTCAGTGTAAACTAGCCGTAAGAGCAAAACATCACCTTAGATGACACTGTGTGCTGTCATTGTGGCTGAATGTTTGGTCCTTTGTGGAAAACCTCTCTGCCGTGCTTTGACTTCGCTATAAAAGGAAAGAGGTTATTTTGTTGCTAAAATATTAAACCCAAGGCACTTACAGAGCACAACACGGTCACATTGACTTGTATACTTGTTGTAGGGACAGTTCACCCCAAAAAATGAATATTCTGTAAAGATGTACTCATCCTCACCGTTCTGAACTCATATGAGTTTCTTTTTTCTGTGGAATACAAATGGAGAAATTGAGAAATGTTCACGCTGATCTATTCCATATAATGTCAGTTTTATTTGTTAGTATTAGTATGTGGTTTGACAGTCTCCTGACACCATGCAAATGTATTTTAGTTCTTTGTAGTACAAGAAACTACATGTTATTGAATTGTGGGACATGCTCATAATGATGCATGGTGTAGACCACCTCTCTCTAAGTGGGACATGGCCCATGACTCCAAGATTTGTGTGTATACTTCATTACCCATGTTTCCCAACCTGACAGCACATCTTTTCTCGCCCAATTGCCCCAGTGTGCAGCGGGCCAGAGGCCTCCAGGACATCCCAACCATGAAATCCACTGCCCACACTTGCTTTTTTCATGTCTCATTATTTTTCTGATGTAATCTACCCTTTGTTTATGTCCTCATTTGTACAGTCTGTTCTGCTGTTCTGATCGTCTTTCTCTGAATCTCTGGCCACCACATCTGCTGTAACAATTATTCTCAATGGTAGTAATTCAGCTTCACGTCCTCTTGTCTGTTTCTCACCCATGTCATCGTGTCTCTCTTTCTCTTTCTCTTTCTCTCTCTCTCTCTCTCTCTCTCTCTCTCCCTCCCTCTCTCCCTCTCCCTCCAGATAGCAGATATCCTCCTTGATTATTATGTAGTATGCTCCTGTCGGAAATTCACCACTTAGCCGACACACATAAATTATCCCAATAATTTGCCTGTCAGGGGAAATGGTTAGAGAAAGAAGAACCTGGTGTTTCTATTAAGAAACCTCCTAAGGATTTTTCAGTTTGGAGAGAGAAAAGCTGAATATCAAACATGAAAATAATAAACATTTTAGATTTTTTAACGGAAAAAAAAAATAATAATTTAAATTTAATAGAAATGTAAAAAAAAAAAATCTAAAACTTAAACTAAAATTACAATGAAAACTGAAAATCTAAATATAAAACTGGCTTGGTAACTGAAATTATCTTACTGTTTGGATAATAAACAATATTACTTTGAATAAACATTGCTTATGCCAAATATTTTTAATTTTAATGTTTAATGAATTTTTTTTAATATAATTTTATTTTTAGTGCAGTTTTATAAAATCAAGCTCAAGAACATGGGCTAAAGCATCTTTGTAGCGCACGGATTCTTTTGATTTGTTTCATTTATTTGAAGATTATTCAGATTTAGTTACAATTTGTACCACTAGTGCAGCAAGTATTAGAACCAAAATGTTTCTCATGAAGTTTGATTCTGTTTGCTGTTCTGGAACGTGTACATCTGCCAGTGCAGACGGAAGTAATAAAATATGTGCTGTAAACACCAGAGGCGCCGTCATGATGATCAGCCTATGTATTATTTCATGTTGGCTGTGCTTGTGAATTAACATGAATTAAAGGCAGGGTAGGTGAGGTCAAAAGAACTGACTGTTGAGCTCAGAAACAGGTTTGCGTCAAGCCACAGGCCTCCATAATCCTTAAATGGAAGACGTTTGGGACGACCAGGACTCTTCCTAGAGCTGGCCTCCTGGCCAAACTGAGCAATTGATGGAGAAGGTCTTTGGTTATAGTGGTGACCAAGAACCTGATGGTCACACTAGTTGATCTCCATGATTATATGTGGAGATAGGAGAAACCTAGAGAAGGACAAACATCGCTGCAACACTCCACCAATCCAGTCTTTATGTCGGAGTGGCCAGACTCAATCCTCTCTTCAGTTAAGACGCATGAAAACACACTTGGAATTTACAAAAAAGCACCTAATGGACCCTCAGACTCTGAGAAACAAGATTCCCTGGTCTGATGAACCTCAATTCTAAGCATCTTGTTTGAAGGAAACCAGCTCCGCTCATCACCTGCAGAGTACCATCCCAAAAGTAAAGTGTGCTGGTAGCAGCCACATGCGACAAGGACTGAGGGACTTGTTAGAGTTGAAGAAAAGCTCAGTGCACCAAAATATTGAGATAGCCTTAATGAAAACCAAGTCCAGAGCATCCAGA